CTCCCCCAGCCCCCTAATCATTCCCTGCCAATTGCACCGGAGTTCAATTAGAATTTGTCAGTGGCTGCTGTCCTGCCTCCCAAATCTGTCCCAAAACAAACAAACAAAAAAATATCGACAACAAACCAAAATTCTAGGATATCAAAAAAAGAAGAGGAAGACACAACCAAATCGAAAATCAAATATAAAATAAATACCAACAGGACAGAAAATGTTCCCTAAAGGGGAGCTAAATGGTCGCTGAAGGTTAAGCAACTAATTTAATGCTCTTTTCATACTTACATAGAATTTTGATCAACTTCCCAAAGCTACATGAAGTAAATCTATAAGTTTAAAGGTAAGTAAAAATGAATAAGGATTTTTTTTTGGTAAATATCTAAAAAATAATCACCTTTCCGCCTTCTTAAAACTAGCAACCCTTCGACTTAGCTAATATACCTCGACGATCTTAATTCCATTTGGTAAAGGCATTAAAAACCATATCGAAAAATAGTTGTACGAATGGGGAAAAGCCTTTTTCCAGACCGAACGGCATAAAAATCCTGGCAAACCCCAAAAAGGTGCAGCCGGTTCATTTGGTTGGGGGCTTTGCCAGTGATTTTGCTTTGGGCCATCGTTTGGCCATTGAGCTTTTGCGGTGGTTTTACCATCGCAACAGAAAAATATGAAATGCATTGGGCTAATACCCCCCCTAGCTCCCCTAGCACCATCTCTTTCCATCGATATCTGTCTGTCTTTTTCTATCTGGCCTCTTTGCACCTTAACCGCAGTTTACTGTGGCTCCATGCTCCATCTAGTCATCGATGGTCATTCATCTAACTGCTGTCTCTCGCTCCGTAGACCCTCTGAAAGTCCATCCCTCCAGGGGCGCTGCTTCCCTCCCCTTATCCTGCAAATGCCTGGTCATAAGGACCATTCTAATCCACTTTGTTGAAAATACACCGGTGCATATTGAAGAGTCTGAAAGCATTCCCAGAGTTCAGAGGTGTCGCTGATAAAATGTTCTAAATAAATAACGTTTTTCGAATGAGACTGCAATGCTGTGATTTCAACGTGAATAATGGTTAGGATGTCCCTAAGATTTTAAGAATTATGTGACTGGAGAATAGCAAAAGTTGAATGATTTCCAAGGAGCTCACCAAAATACGGCACTTTTTAAGGATTTTTGGTTATTTTTTGTATTTAAAGTAAGCCAAGTTAGGGTGAATTTCCCTAACAAACTATACGATAATCCTTTTAAATATTATATATAAATTAATAATCTGGGATATAATGTCTAGAATTTCAAATGATTTTATGATATATTATTTTATTTAGAAATTTCTAAGCTAAAATATTTAATATAATAACAAAAATTCAAATTAAATGCATTTATAATGGATTTAAAGGAAAAATCACACAAAAATATTATCGTTGATCCTTGGTCAATCCCCTTTAACGCCGCCCTTGCTAAACAGGAAAAGGACTCAGGGGCTGAGCTGCGTTTTGTGGAGCGTTTCAAGTTTAGCGCGATGGCGACATGGTCAGGATGCGAGGGGTCTCCGCTGATGGCTTAAAGGGTCTCGTCCTGTGCATATCGATTTGATGTGATTTTCATTAAAAACTCAGCACAGGTAGCAACAAAACAAGGTGCAAAAAGAGGGGGGTGGGGTGCAGAGGTACGGACCAAAGGAACGACTGAAAGCCACGCAGTGCACAAAACCACGTGAGTGGTTCAGGTTTTAGGGGGCTTCGAACTTATTTTTTTATTCCCAGGTATTGAAAAGAAAATCGTTATAAAATCAGCTTTGCGATGCCATGAAAAAAGAAAGCGTAGCCCATTCCAAAAAACAAACCGAAAACCAACAACAAACAAGGAAGTGGAAGTATCCCGAAAGTGTTTCGAATACCAAATACCTCATAGGAACATAAATAGATTTAAGAGTTATTCCACTTTAAGATATGATTTCCCTGCTACTTTTAATATATATTTGAAGCTTTAACTTGATAGTATTATATTACGTTTTAAATAAAACACCTTTCTAAGCATACCCTTGCCAAACTACAGGGTATCAAAAATGACAAATAGAAAAACGATGAATGGGCCAAAAAGCGGAAGCAGCTGCACATTAGCCAAAGAGTTTGGGACCGGGATTTGGGTATCGAGGACTGCCATTGAGTTGGTGTCCTACGTGAGCAGTCAAAGTTCGACCCCCAAAGAAATTAAAAACAAACAAACAAATCGATTATTAGTACGCACTCCGAAAAGGGTTCAGGATATGCTTTTTGACGATGGATTTATTCCCCTTTTCTTCTATTTCTTTTTTTCGGTTTTCTGAGCCGTCCGAAACTCGGACACGGATTGCGTATTGGCCAAAAAGTGTCGCTGCATCAGCTTGAGCCGCTCTTCATTGTTTGTTGCTGGGCGTGCGTCCGGGCGGTGGGAGGCGTGGCTGAGCAGAGCAGGGAAATCTGTTTTCCGTTCGATATTTTCACGCATGATTTATGACCCCGTTAACAAGTAAAAGTCTCAACGTGCAGCAGCATCCGACCAGGCCGGTCTACAACTTGAAAAATGAATTTCTCGTTTTTAACCGCCCACACCCGCCGTCACGCGGCCCGATTTGCCCGCTTTCCAGCTTTCCCACGGAAAATGAAGTGGCACCGAGGCACGTAGAATTCGGGCGGAAGGGACTGGAAAACAGGGACAGGCCGCATAAAGTTGCCGAAATGAAGCTTAATTTAAAGACAAACATTTGTGCATAACAGCGACAAGAACAAGGGTTTTCCCGACGAAAATGGCCCCCTGTTTTTCCGCAAGGCAGAAGGCAGAAGGAGTACATTAGCTGGACACACACAAAAACACACACACCCCATCAGCTGAACCTCGCTGGCGAAACATCTTTAAGGACACCATTATTTTCAGGTCGCGCAATTTAGATGGGTCACCAAATTTCCTTTACAAGAGACTACAGGAAAACCAAATAGTTAATACTTTATGCAGGTTAGAGAATGCCATTCCATTTGGAGGGAAAATCTAAATGTATTTGTTAATATAAATAACCTTAAACGAAGTTAACTTTTAGAGTTTGTGTCTTAGATCACAAAAATTCAAGTTTAGAACTCTTAACTTTATTAATTTAGAACCCAAATTAAGGGTATTTTCTAAGACACCTGTTACGGTCTTATCCACTTTGAAAATAATAATTTTATTAGCGCCATTTACACTTCAACAATCTGCTTGCCTGATTCCAACTTTCTATATCTTATAGTTCCTGAGATTCCAACTAGATCATGGGCTGGATCTAACCGGAAAACTCGTTAGCCATTTTGGAGAGTTAGAAACGTCTGCCTCTTGTCTCCGTGTTAAGCTTTATGCGAATTATACGTTTCATTTTACAAATTGTTTAAAAGTATTTTTTGTGTCAAACAAAGTGACCTTTGAAAACAACTTTAAACGAAACTCAACCTTATGACACACCGATCCTATGAGCTCCCATAACTATTCTGACTTTCATAGAAGTAACATCAAAATAAAATTTTCACTTTTTGAGTCTTTAAAATTATATTTAACAAACATTTTACCGAAATGGGGTGAGTGAGAAAGTGAATTGCGAAAACGGAATAAGACCTTTCGCGAACACTGCAAAGACTCCTTTCTATTCCATCAATGCAATCTAAAGTGATATCCAACAACAGGCTTATCCTGACCTTCATTTTCCATTTACAGAAGAGCCAAAGTAGAGACCAAGAAAGTGTATAAGGGAAGTAAGAAGCGTGGTATATACAAAGACGAGTTCCAATCCTTGAAGTTCCATGAAGCAAGGAAGGGGGTCAACGACTCCCCGGACTATGCTGGAAGAGCTGGAAGGAAAATGGCCACGCCTGGACATGTGGGTCGGCCTGTCTCAGTAATATGTTAGCTCACGTCCGAAGCCCGAGCAGAAAGAACAAGTTTTATCAAAAAGAAAACAAAGAAAATCAAAATTTCGTATTTATCGACTGGTAACAATACCTCAGTTTGCAGCATTCAGGACAGATCATTCCGTTTCGTCGTCTGTTCATCACTCTACGGGATCGGGATGGTCTTCAGGTTTTCCTCTCACGGATCAAAAAAGTAGAATGGGTCTTTTTGTAAATGTGAATCTGTGACGATTGGAATAAAAGACAAATAAACATAATAATAATGGTTTCGCTCTGGACGCCCTAGGCTATCAACTCTTCAACTCGTTCTCCAGGGATATCGACTTAATGGTGGTGTACTTCAGATAGCGTGATCCTTCACCAGCTCGAAATGATGGTGTCCATATCTGCAACCGTATCCCAAGTGGGAAGAGTGATGGGCAGAAAGCTGCTGGGCGGGATCAGCGGGGTTTCAAGAAGGAGCAGGAAATTTCCGTATTCTCCGTGAACAATAACCTTGGCTTCCTGGACAAGGACTCCGAACCGATCATTGGAACCCGCTCGTTAGCGTCTTCATTGGTAAAATGTACGATGAAGTTCCTGGGCGGGATCGAGCCTCCAAGGTTGTTGGAGTCGCAACAAAATCGCGACGCTAAAAGGTTGTCATTTTCACAAATGGGCATTGCCCATGCGATCGATTCTATGTATTATCTCATCACCCTATGATATTTATAATATAGTTTTCCTTTACAAAACCCCTATTTTGGCTTTTTAAAAACTGCTAACCAATCATATATTTTCAATGAATTTGTAAATTGATAAAGGTCTTCTTTTTATGGTGTGTGAATCTGTTTATACTAAACTTTATATATTACGGTTTTTCATTAGAGAGGCCAAAGCTAAACGAAATCAAAGATGGAAACACATTAACAATAGCTTATATGCCGATGAATCGATACAAAACAACAGGCAGACGTTGTTCCACCTCTAATCTGTTTAGCTTTGGTAACTCTGATCTAGTTCTTGGTTTTCCATCGTATAAAAACGTTTTATACAATATTTTTTAAACTGTGATTGTACAATCGTAAGGGCATATATCCGTATTAACTAAGAGGTAATTAGTGCATCATAAGCTCGTTCGATTTAATTAATGTACTAGTATTATAAATAGTAAATGTATTAAGTTCAGCGTTTCCAAGCATTAGAGTCCAGTCTTATATTATGAGCAGTGGAGGCCGCGTAGTGAACGAAAATGCACCGGCTTCCTGCAGGTGGGACAACCAAAGCGACATTCCAAGTGCTGGAGGATGCACTTGCTCCCGAAAACATGGCCGCATTTCAAAGACATCGGATAATGGCCGCTATAGAGATGCCACCCCAAGAGGCAAATCGAACAAGTGTTCTCCCTGAGGATTTGATCCAATTCGGTCTTCTTTTGGGTCAAATCTTCAATCTCCAATTTGAGGATTGCGTTCGATTCCATCAATGCATTCTTTGTTTTTTCCGCCTGCTCAATTCTCTCGCGCAGTCCATCATTAATCATCGTAATGCTATTCATGTACATCTGTCGGTCCCGGTCATTGTCCCTCTTGTCCTTCCAGAATCCATGCTTAGCGGGTTTCTTGCTTCCCGAGGGCCCTGGCGATGGGGTTTTTTCCATCCTGGCGGCTGCCTGCCGAGGTTTCCCGCCCAAATCATCGCGATTTTTCTTCATTATAAAACTGAGCGCAGCCTCCAAATTCGAGGGCTTGTTATCTTTAGATTTGGGCTTCATATTTTGTAGATTCTTCGATTACCTATCTAAAGTACGGATATTATCTGTATTTGATTTCACAAAGCACAAAAAACTAACCAGAGCAAGGTCCTCACTTCAGCAGGTATAAAAAATTATGAGCAGCTTAGGGTGACATATGTCAGAATGGCGTTTAAAGTAAACAAGGGCTATCGATGTTTTTCATAAATGAATGAGACCGTTTCTTGGAACTCGTCTTTTTAAAGGAATGTTCGATTGATGACAATCGTACTATATTTTCCACCTATGGTTCTTTAGGATCTATCCCAATATGAGTTTTTAAATCTCGTCTTATAATGACCTGCAGGTCAACTTACTACGATTAATCTCTGCTATTAACAGTCTACCTAGTGACGATGCGCTTCATAAGCTTTTTAAAATATATCATCTTTCGACCATTATAACATACAAATGTGAAGGTCTTTATCAGATGTTTTAAAGATTAAATAAACTTTTAATTTATATTTGTAGCTTTGGGCAATTAATAAGTGATAATTAGGAATATATGTTTTATAGAGGAACTTTGATATCTAATTTTAACGCTGTTTTATTTCTAAGCACATAAGTATGAACTCACATTAACGAAAAACGCGGAATTATTGGGAACTGTAAGTCTTATAGAAAGAGTTAGAGTTATAGACTAGGCAGCTTGGATTTACCAAGCATATTCTAAAATAGCCAACGCAACCCAAGGTGGTTTTATCATTCGGCCACGCCCAGTTAATGGTACTACCTTAAGATGCGCAAGATTATGCGATTATACGAGATTAATTACAATTATTTTTGCAAAATACGGAATAAATTTTAGAAATTATATGTTTTTTTTATATGTTATTTTTAATTATTTATTAATTAAGACAGAATAGTGTTTCGTTGTATAAAAAGGATCACAAAACCTAGACTCTAGTCATATTAACGAGGTCAAAAGAAAGAAAGATTAGAAAAAGAAGGAAAAAGTGTTTTGGAGGTTTTGAAGGAACTGAAAAGGTTTGTAATTTTCTTTTTCTTTGCAAGTCCTTGAATCTTAGATTTCCATCTTCCATCTCATAAACATTCTTTTTTTTATGAAAACACAAAACAGTGGAAATGGAAATCTATCAAACGGGCTTTTTCCTCTCACTGTGGCCTTGCGTGCGTGAAAAGCGAGCAAAGGGAAACTGGCATGCTGGACGCATCAGTCCGACTGGCAAAAAGAAAAACAAAAAACAAAGGAAACCAAAAAAGACAAAGACCGGTCGAGAAAGCAGTCCTTTTGCCGTTTGTGTTTGCCTTGGCCATAGCCAAAAATGTTTGCCTGATGTCCCAAACTGCGGATCCAAAAGCGGGGAGCGAGAATTATGGGGGGAAGTACCCAACTGAAAAAGGGAAAAGTCGCCCGTTGCTTTATGAATTTTACATATGTTTCTCAGCCTGAAACTGAAACCAAAAAGACAGAGGCATAACCAAAATGAAATAAACATTAGAAGGAAAAAAAACCAACGCGAAAAGTGGGGAAAAGGAAAGAGGAAAGAGCCAGTCGGAAATCCATACAAATCAGAAAAGTAAAAGGAATAACAACAACAGCCATAACGAAACTTAGCAGGTGTGCCCCAAAACGTAATGGTTCAGAAGCACTGAGAAAAATTAAAATACCATATGCAACTTAATTTTGTTCATTTATTATAAAACCTGTTAAGGTAAAAATTGATTTAAAAACACAAAAATTAGTAATATTTTAGGTAAATCAAAAAACAAAAAGGATACGATATGAAGAAGATTGAAATAAAATATTGTAATAATTATTTATCGATCAGATATCCAGCTGATAACATGATAATACCTACTTATATACCGATATAATACTACAAAACACAAAAATACATTTTTAAGAAAACAAAATATTGGAAGTAAGAATATCTTTTCAAAGCATAGAGCTTCATTTTCTTTTTAAAATAAATGAAAACCAATTTGACATGAAAAAATTTAAGCAAATTTATTTCTTTCAGTGTACCGAAGGAGAGCCAGTTGCTGGTGGTAGGGAGGTGAAAGGCCGGGATAAGCGACTCCCCGACATTGTCATCAATCATCGCAACTCGCGCCCACGCAGGAAAACGGAGTCGCGGGCGGTGGGAAAAGTGAAAGGGGGTGGCTTGGGGAAATGGGGAAATGGCAAAAGGAAAACGAACTGGGCTGCTGTTTGGACTCTTTTGGCCATTCACGAATCATGCCTTCATGCTTTTCAAGCCTCAACTGTTTCAATAGGTCAATGGGTAGCGCCACGGGGTATGCCCAGAATCTTAAATTCTCTTCTTCGGCTCTCTCTCTCTTTTTGGGTTAACATATATTGAATCGTATTTAAACTCGTTGTTTATCTGTTCAAAAACACCTTCTATTGTTTTCCACAAATTCTTACATCAAGTTTATGGAATTTTGTATTTGTTTTTGATTTATATATTACTGTAAATACCACTCAAAGTTATCCTTTGGCTTGGTTAAGTAGTTAAGCCTTTTCATCTCAGGTAACTTCAGAGCTGCCTTCGATACTGGGTAGTCCACTGATCGGGTGTCCTAGTTAGGAGGCCCCTCATCTTACCCCTATAGCTTCTCGATTCTTTGTAACAGTTGCTGAAAATGATAGCAAAAGCGGCAATCCAATTGCCGAGGGACTCACGAGCGTTCCTTAACTCCTTCTCCTGTTTTCCGTCGGAGTTGTCAATCGTTTTTAGCAAAAGTCTGGCTATTTTTTAAGATGAAAGTTTAAAGTACAAGTTAAAGTTTTTTATTAAAGCAAATCTGTTTCATCAAAACAAATATTCTCAAAAGAAAACAAATATTTGTAAGAGTGCATATTTTTCATATATTTTTGTAGTCCATGTTTAGTCCTAAAATTGGATTGGGAAAATTTTAAAGATTTTTCATTGATTTTGTATACTAATCCATAATCTTCAGGTTCAGATCATGAATAATTTAACACATAAAACATATTTTAATTTAATATTCAGTAGGGAAAAAAAGTGATACCAGGAATTAGGTTCACTTATATAAACCTAATCTTACCCTTTTCAAATTTTTGGCTATTTTTCGAACTAACAAGTGGCAACTCTGCTGTTCAGGTGCTCGGCACGCGTGTATTTGATGGGCCTTTGGGAATCCATGGGCGGGGGCATTGGTGGGAGCGGGGGGCGTGGCTGGCGCCTGTTTGTTTGCGCTTAATTCGCACCGCTTCGCGTCAGGGGCACTCAACCATGTTCAGCAACCGGTACGCGTACCTGTGGCAGGCCGTTAACTAAGCACAGGGCAAATGTTTGCCAGCTGGGAAGACGTTTAACTACACTGAGAGAAATTTTTGTATGCAAAAGTATTAAAGAAAATTAAGTAATTAAAATTCATTGTTTAGATATGTTAAGCATCCAAATTTGATGATGAAAAAACTTAAAAACTAGACAAGAAGTAACCTAAAGATACCCCCATTGAGTCTTTAAAATTGTATAAAAATTGGAAAAATAGGGAAATCTTGCATATCAAAAAACGATTACAAATAATCATTCGATTCCTCTCAGTGCCTGCTTATTAAAACCAGTCAGTGAACCCAGTGTCGTTGTAAAGGCCACAGGGGGCATGTCATACTTTTCGCTTTCCCTTTCGCCCTGCGATTAGGTTAAAGGGAGGGAAGGGGGCTAGGCAAACCAACCCCATCAATATTTATAATGTTAGTTTTAAATTAGCGCAAAATAAACGACTGGCAAATATTGAAACAATCTCAGGCCCCATTCATCCCCGGACTCCTGGCTCATTGTGCTAAATATGATTTAATCTTTGGCGAGGTGTTCTCTCTCCTCCCCACCTGTATTAACCCCACGCAGCCCCCTTAATCCACAAGGGGCCCCTCTGCTCACAAAAGCCGCCGCAAATCCCTCAATCAAAAACACAAAGCGCGAATGGGTGAAAGCTGCGAAAAAAGGTGAATAAATGGTGCCGAAGTTAACTAACGTTAACAGCCGAGCAATTAATTCAAATTTAATATTGATGAGCGGGGGGAGTGGCAATCTGGCTGTTTGATAAAGGGAAAATGCCAGCGAATGAAAGCGATTTGCGAACTGGTTAGGCCCAGTAATAAGCACTCGCTGACTTCTTCATAGTTCATGAGATCTTTCAATTAGAAGTCTAATATTCAGTTTTTCACTTTCAAACCTAAAATTTGGAGCAGCTTTTCAGGATACTAAAAAAAAAAAAAAGATCAGTTTTTGCAGTAACTATTCAGCATAGTTTATAGTTTTATAGTTTTTCAAAGTGTCCATGGCAAATAGCGGCTATTAACAAATATATAGAAATTATAAGTTGACATAAATCTTTTAGCCAAAGGGGGACTCTCACTCCAGCCAGACCCACTTTTATTCTCGCTCATTAGGGGTCTCATCGGGAGATTTTTCCGGACTTCCTCACTTTCAAAGTGGCGTTACCCAGTCCGGCAATCAACGACTTTGACTTGTAAATTTTCCTTCCAGATCTTTCAGCACTGTCCGGAAGGAACTTCCTTGCTCCATGGAACTTCAAAGATGAAAACGAGTCCAAGAATATGTCACGCTTCTTCCTTCCCGTATACACTTTCTTGGTCTCCACTTTGGCCCGTCTGCAAATGAAGATTCATTTAGAAGATCCGAAAATAGTCAGGGTTAAGCCCGAGGTTATATACGAGGTGTGTTCAAAAAGTAAGGTGACTTTTCAAATTTCGCGGGCAACATATTTTCGATTATCGATTTTTTTGTTTTGTTATATTGGTACACTCTTCCCTAACATCTGTACCAAGTTTCAATGGAACATCCTCTTTTGTTTGGTTGTGAGAGGCGTAAAGTTACAAGTTATTTTGCGAGCTCGGCGATTTTTTGCTATCGAAAAATATGGATCAAAGGATTTGCATCAAATTTTGTGTAAAAAATAAAATTAAGTGCTCTGAAACACTTGAAATGTTGACAGTGGCATACGGTGAAACTGTTCTGAGTAAAAAAAATGTGTACAAGTGGTACAAACTCTTCCAAGATGGCCGGGAAGATGCCAATGACCAGCCTCGCTCTGGACGCCCAAGCACGTCAACAACTGATGAAAACGTTCAAGCAGTGACGAAAATTGTTTTGGAAAATCGTCGAATCACTATC